TTTTCACAATACTGTATAGATAATATTACCCACGCTAACCGTTTTACAGACGCCATACTTACATATATCAAACGAAAATGGAACGCGATAGAGTATTATTACTCAACAAACATAATTGGAGCACATGGAGTTTTCAAATAAAGGTAATATTAAAAGCCAAAGACCTATGGGAAGTTGTAACAGACAGAGATTTTAAAACAAAGTCGGACTTCAATGTCAAGGACAGCAAGGCACAAGAAATACTTGTAACAAGAGTCGAAGAGAGTGTCATGTCTTATTTGTTATCATGTTCAACAGCATATGATATGTGGGAAAAACTCAACACAATTTTTGAGGATAAGACAAAGGTAGGTGTTCACCTTTTACAAAGAAAATTTTATAATTTACAGTATTCAGAACCTATGTCAGATTATATAGTACTTGTTGAGGATTTAGTTAACAAATTGAAAGCTTCAAATGAGATTATATCAGAGAAGATGCTTATAACAAAGATATTAGTAACTTTGCCAGAGGATTACCAGCATTTTATATCGGCATGGGAGAGTGTACCAGAAACAGAACAGACATTCAAAAGTCTAACAGCTAGATTATTAGTCGAAGAGGAACGTATAAAAAACAGAGGACAGGAATCTTTCTCAACAGCGGCACTGGTGACAAACAGAAGTAAAATATGGAACACAGTACAACAGAATAGGACACCGGAACAACAGATTTCAAAAGCTAAGTGTTTTAATTGTAATAAAGTTGGTCATCTTAAGAAAGACTGTAGAATAAGGAAGTGTAATTACTGTGGAAAAGTTGGTCATGTCTATAATGATTGTAGACTTCGCAAAAATAAATTTGAAAATAGTACACCTAAAGCATACATTGCTAATGTTTGTGATAAAAACAGCTGGATTATGGATACAGGAGCTAGTGACCACATGTGTAATGATAAAAATGCATTTGTAGAATATAAAGATATTGAGGAAAAATATGTAACTATTGGTGATAGGAATAAATTAAAGGTATGTGGTATTGGAAATATAAATCTTTTAGCTTATAATGGTAATAAGTATGTATCTTCGATTTTGTATGATGTTTTGTATGTTCCAAAATTAAAAGTAAATTTATTTTCAGTCATATGTGCAATTGATAAAGGTTATAACATAAATTCACAGCGGAATTACTGTTAAATATTATTTAAGGGGTGAGGTTACTTGTATTGCAAACAAATGTGAGAACTTATTTTTAATGACATTTAAATATTAACAGTCTCATATAGCTTTGACTTCTACTTTAACGGACTGGCATGAGAGACTTGCTCATCAAAACTATAAATATGTAAAGGATATTTTGAATAAACATAATGTTAAATATGAAGGGCAAACTGATAAATGTATTCCATGTATTAAAGGAAAGCAACATAGATTACCTTTTCAAAGCAGTATTAATAGAGCTAATAAACCAGGTGAGTTAGTGCATATAGATTTAAGTGGAAAAATGGAGTGCAAGTCAATAGGTGGTTCGCAATACTTTTTATTATTGAAAGATGACTATAGTAATTACAGATGGATATATTTCATTAAGAACAAATGGGAAACAGCAGCATGTATAAAAAATTTCTTACCATTATTTTACAATTTAACAGGTTTTAAGATTAAAAGTATTAGGTCAGATAATGGAACAGAATTTATTAACAGAAATATTACAGAGTTTTTAAAGGTCAAAGGTATAACGCACCAGAGAACAGTACCCTATACCCCTGAACAAAATAGTCGTGTAGAACGGGAAATGAGAACGGTGGTAGAAGCTGCACGGACTTTGCTTCTTGCAAAGAATCTTCCAAAGGAACTGTGGGCTGAAGCATTAAGCACTGCAGTCTTCACTATAAATAGAACAGGCAAATCACCTACACCTGAAAAAACACCATATGAGTTAATATTTAATAAACAATTTGATTTACAGTTTTTAAGAGTATTTGGAACAGAAGCATGGACACATATACCAAAAGAAAAGAGACGTAAGTAGGATGCTAAGAGTAAAAGAGGAATATTTGTTGGCTATGGCATCGTCACAAAGGGCTAAAGAGTTTGGTTTCCAGAAAGTAATGAAGTAAATACATACAGAGATATTATATTCATCAATAAAGAGAAATGTATAGACTACACAGATAATACTACAGATAATGCAAATAAATATTACTACACTATAGATGATTATGAAGAAAATAGAAATAAAATAAATATGCATACAGAAAAAGATGTTATAGAAGACGTGAGAATACAGAATGATAGAGAAGATATAAGAGAAGAGGAAAGAAATACAGATTCAGGAAGAGAAAATAATGAAGATACAAATAAAGCAAGAGATGAAACCAGAACTTTTGATAGAAGTATAAATAAATCTATAGAAGAAGATGAAGGTTCAGTACATGAAGGTGAAGAAGACATGATAGAAGAGTACTTAGAAGATGAATATCTAGACACAGAAGAATTACCTGATAACACAGAAGTAAGAAGAACTAGAAGTGGCAGACAAATAAAGAAACCTCAGTGGACAAAGGACAATGAAACAGCGTTGATAGTACAGGGTGAGCATGAGTTAACCTATGAGGAAGCAATAGCAGGAGAAAATAGGGAAAGATGGGTAGAAGCAATCTACACAGAGCTAAAGGCATTAGAGAGTAATAACACTTGGACAGAAGCAGAATTACCAGTAAACAAAAGGATCATAGATGGAAAATGGATTTTTAAAATAAAGGGAGGAGATAAAACTGATAGAAAGTCTACGTCAGGGTATATTTTTAAAGTTTATGGGAGTACAGTTTCATGGAGTAGTTCCAAACAACAGTGTGTTGCACTTTCATCAACCGAGTCTGAGTATGTAGCTCTAGGTAGATGTGTGTCTGAAGGATGCTGGATTAGAGAAATGTTAAAAGAAATAGGTTTAGATTGCAATAGTTTTTTGGTTTACATAGACAATCAGTCCGCCCTTCATGTTGCTCAAAACCCAGAACAACATCGTCGTCTAAAGCATATTGATTTAAAATTTCATTTTGTTAGGGATAAGGTAAATAATAAGATTGTTGATTTGTTATATATCCCATCCAACCAACAGTTAGCAGATTTGTGTACTAAAGGTTTAAGTAAGATTACATTCACAAGATTGTGTAATTATATAGGACTTCAATAAACAGGTAGAATGTTATTATTTTTGTTAAAAAAGTTAGTTTTTTTGAAGTTATACTTCTTTAGGCGCGTTATGAAAAAATTATGAGAGTGAAATTTTAAGATGCGCCCGCATCACTGTATTACAAAATTTTAACAGCATGAAGTTGGTCGCTTTAGCGACCAACTTCATGCGTTACTTTTGTGTTTACCGCACATTAAGAAAATCTACCAACAAAATAGAAATAGAATCTCTATTTAGTGGGTGCTAACGACTGCATTGTGAAGGCCTATCAAAAGTATTTATTAATCTGGAACAACGGAACCAAAGCGCGAGGAGACTACAGCGCCATCTCTTGACCATTGGTGTAGTAGAACCAAAAACCACATCTTTATTTTTTGTAATAAAGTAACAGTTATAGGTATTCATATTTATAATATTTATCCACATGTTTCTAGTTTGTATATTCGGAATACGTGTTTGAGTTTCATACAAGTGCAAATCACATATGTTCTAATAAATTATATTCAGTAGCGATTTTAATTGAATATTTTGATTTATTTATTTTTTCAAATTAAAACTGAACTTTATTGACTGTGTCCTTTTCCAGACTTTTTATTAATTTATTGTAATTAATTATTTGCATGCAATTAAAAACTAATTTTAAACGATGCCAAAGAAGGATAACTTCTCACGCGCCTACATAAGTACACGCACCCATTTTTTTTATGGTGTTTCTTTATTATAGTTTATAATAGTAGAGTCTTAATTTATAAAGTCGAGGAAGGGTGTTAATGTTAGGAATAAACGACATATAAATTAAGTTTCTGAACATACTTTTATTTTCAGTAGTCCTAATTATTATCTGCACTGTGGCAACATTTTTTTTTCTTTATAACAAAACTTACTTGTTCCGTTTGTGGCCGACATTGTTATTATTTCTTCTTTCAAATGTTTAATACTTGAAAAAGTATTCATTTGACATTGTGGGTTACCTACAATGCGAAGAGATGGCGCTGCCTTGCAGCTTAAGGCTAGGAAAATTTCGACGCGGCTAATAGGGCCGTGGTAGCATAATGGTCAGTGCATTCGCCCGGATAGCGAAGGATGCGGGTTCGAGTCCCGTCCGCTGCCTGGTCCGCGTGGATTTTTTTCTAGTAAACTTTTCTTTACATTTTAACATCTAGCAGTTAAATACTTAAAAAATAAATAAAATCATAACAATAATTGCTATTTCTTCTTTCAAATATTTAATACTTGAAAAAGTATTCATTTGACATTGTGGGTTACCTACAATGCGAAGAGATGGCGCTGCCTTGCAGCTTAAGGCTAGGAAAATTTCGACGCGGCTAATAGGGCCGTGATAGCATAATGGTCAGTGCATTCGCCCGGATAGCGAAGGATGCAGGTTCGAGTCCCGTCCGCTGCCGGGTCCGCGTGGATTTTTTTCTAGTAAACTTTTCTTTAGATTTTAACATCTAGCAGTTAAATGCTTAAAAAATAAATAAAATCATAACATAATAATAATATTATATTTACCAATAGTAATAGAATATTAAAGAAGGCAAAGAATACTATGATATATAGCCACTTCTGGCAACATTTCGAACGGGTATTTTTGTTTAAAACTGGCCACTTTTTTAATAAATGTAGTCACAAACCAGATTGTCCTAACGGCAACACTGGCCAGAATTGTTGAAGAAGGGAAGAAGTAGAAAGAAGACGTGGAGGTACATCTTTGAGGCATAAGGACAATGTATCCATTGCCAATAAATTAAAAAAAAGAAAAAAAAAAGGTACATCTTTGCTTTAGTGGTGATGCTCGGATTAAGGAAACCTATGGTGATGTGATGTCTGCACTATCTGCTATTACTGAATACGGTTCTAGTTCAGATGACAGTAATTCCGAAGATAACGAACCATTCATTAAGAAGTAAGCCATTTTTTATTTAGTTTGCATTTAAACACCTTTTCTACATCTTTGATTCTTAGGTTTTCATGCACATCACTCATTAAATAAAACAAGTTTCAATGGTATAGATGCATTGATTTATTTACTTAAATAAATAAATCAGTGCATCTATACTGTTGATACTTGTTTTACCTATTCTACATAATGTTAAGTGTATTCCTAAACATCCAGTTAATAAACTGGATGTTTAATACTTGCCACATCAGAACAACATTTAGGTAAACTATTGATAAATAGTTTACCAAAATGTTGTTAGTGTAGGAGCTAATGTTAAACCTGCTTGTTAGAGCTTATAAACGTTTTGGGCACATACACCAGAGGACCCATCACGGAAGATATCAAAATCAACATTAAAATGAATCTATTTCTCTTATGCCAGTTCTATCTACATTAATAACATATAATTAGTAGGTGGTAGCCCTCAGATAGAAAATATTGTACATACAGGAAGTATGTAAAAATTTTTCTACTGGAAGGCTACCATTATAAATAAATAAATAAATATTTCCAACACTCACACCTATTAGCTTATCTCCAAAGTAAGCACTCTGTAAGGCTTGTGTTATGGGATACTAAAGTAACAGATAGAATACATAATAATATACTGTACATATATATTTATATAGAAACACATATTAAACATCCATGGCTAGGGTACAAATGCTCGTATTCATCACACAAACATCTGCCACCACAGGGATTCGAACCTGGGACCTAACAAGTCGATGACACCATGAAATTCGGCATACAAACCGCTCGGCCACGGAGGTCATCTAATCATATAGTTATTAATATAGTTTTGTACCAGATTTATCTTGTGAAAAGAACTTGTACTTATCCTACTGATTGAGGCATTTTTAGCATTTCTATTATTTTAATTATGCATTTTTCTTTCAGAGCAAAGCTCTATGTGCCAAGCTTAAGTGGTGTTCCTACAGTTTCCACTGAAATTCACTCTGATGACCCCCAAGACCACGATGGCAGAATAAGGTCTTTTCCTCATGTAAGGGGTAATTGGGCATCTTTTGTTTACATAAAATGTAAGTATGAGTATGAGTACATGTATTATGTGTGATGTTTTATGAAACCACAATGCAAATGCAATGGGAAATCAATAGTAGACAAGATATCCAACCAAAAAGTACATTTACAGGTTCTGTAAAGAGTTGAAATAATTATTGATTGAACTGACTAGAATGGTTTGGTGTTTCATTTTCATGAATATAAGCACTATATGCAAAGCATTAATGTGAAAAAAGTATAGAACTCTCTAAAACTTGTCATAACAGTGTACACAAATGGTTTCTAAATAAGTAGCTAGCAACAAGAGCTAATTATAATTTTGCTATGTAAAAATAATAGGCGCTCTGTTTCTCACCAACTAGGCAATTTTGTACATACCTTTGGACCTGGACGATATCTTTTCATGGTTCCCATTATAGTGGCATGTTCATGTTCTCCGAGGTCTTTCCTGAATAACTAGCCTGTTAATTACCGAGATACCAACTGATCCAAGTTGAAGCATTTCTTTGCGCTTGTGCAGAATGCTTTTAGTGTTGAGAGGATTGAGCTTTTCATTTTAGCTGATTGCTGCCATTTCCCTGGCAGCTTCAGTTATTGCTCTGAAGAGGCGGTTACTTATTTTGTCGACTGTTTCAGGGCCGCAGGTTTACTATTTCGGGAATACGCATAAAGTTCAATTTTTGTGGTGGTCTTAGTCTTAGAAGAACGGCGGGCTGTTTCCGCAACTCGACACCCAGTGCCTATTTTGCGTGGGGATTGGCATCAGTCCTGCCATCCCAGCTCCTCCAGAAAGCTCAGCAGTCCCCGAACGTTACTGCAGGCCTCTACTATTGTCTTCAGGGGCTTCCCATTAGAGAAGTCCTTTGTCTTGCAACGCCCCTGCACTCCAGCAGCACATGAGCGCTCGTCTCCTCGTCCTCCAGGCAGGCTCTGCACAGAGGGCTGTCAGAAATACCTATATTACAAAGGTGTTTGTTGAAATAGCCGTGACCCGTGAGTATACCCACGCTTTGTTTTAGGGCTTGTCTAAGAAGTCTGATTAAATTACGTGTTAGCTGCAGGTTTACCTTGGGAACGGCTTCCCTAGCATGCCTGCAGTCCGTGAGTTCTGTCCAGTATTCGTTGTGTTGTCGTTGACAGCGCTCCCTTATCCATGTTCGCAGCTGTCGATAGGGTATGGGTACAATAGGCTACGGACCAATGGCCGTCCTGCTAGAACCTTCCCTGGCTAAGCAGTCCGCCGCATCGTTACCCCTTGACGCTGTGTCCTTTAATCCACTGTAAAGTCAATCTATTGTCGTTAGCAATTAACTTACAGTGGCATTAATAAATTAAGCCTGATTTCATTATATTGTTGTCCAGTGCCTGTAGGACAGAAGCGCTGTCAGAGAGAATACGAATGTGTTTTTCTCTTACCCCGCGACAATCTATCGCCTCAGCGGCCCTGATAATGCCCACCCACTCTGCCTGGAAGACCGTTTTATAGGCTCCCAAAGCTGTTAAGAAGTGTATATATAGGTCGGAGAAGACACCCGAACCTGTACCGTAGTTGGTTTTTGAGCCGTCTGTGTAGACCCTCAATTCCTTTTGCAGACAACGGTTCGGAGTGTCTTCATAAAGTTGAATTTTGTATTTTTTGTCGAATACGTACGTCTTGGGAATAAGGTCGTTTATTGCAGCAAAGTACGGAAAGTACCTGTATATGTCTGCTAAAACGATGGTATGTGGGGAGTTGTTGTCCCTCCATAGCCCCAGCATGCTTAGTCGTGTGGCTGTACAAGCAGCTTCCTGTTGTATAAACAAATGGAGTGGTCTCACGTTAAGTATTGTCTCCAGTGCTGATGTGGGAGTGGTTTTCATGCAGCCGGTGATTGCACAGCAGGCCTGCCTCTGGAGACGTCTTAACTTATTAATTGTCGGTACCTGGATTGTCTTGGTCCACCATACTACTGTTGCATAGCTGATGATGGGCCTAATTATGGTCGTGTACAGCCACCTAACAATGAGCGGTGATAGTACCCAAGTTTTGCTAATCATTTTGCGACTTTGCCAGAAAATGATGTTGGTCGTAGTAGTAGTTTTGTCTATGTGTGAACCCCAGTTCAGTTTGGAATGTAGGGTTATTCCTAGATACTTTACCTTATTGGAGAGGCTCAGTCGTGTTAAATAGTTTCGGTAGCCGATAGTCGCCTAAGGATGTTTTATTCGTGAACATGACTAATTCTGTCTTCACTGGATTCACCTTAAGGCCATAGTCGTCGTGTAACATCACAGGCGGTGCTCGCAAACTTACCCGGGATTAGGATTGCCAGGTCGTCCGCGTAGCCAACCGTGTCTTTGTGGTGGTTTCTGGAAAAGAATTTTGTGCTCTGTCTTTAGATTTATTCGGATTTTTGCTTGAACAATTCTGTGGTGCGCTACCTTTATTAATGTTATTCAGCACTGACACATCATTGACTATACCTATTGTTACTAAGGATGTAATAAATTTGATTTTTCGTACATGCATCAGGGCTTCTACAGGGCCGCAGTCTGTGACTTTTCGTGTTGAGAAGGGCATTACAGGCATACATTCTGTGTTTACAAAGAAAGTTCACCAAGTTGCCCCCTATCATTCCTGGATCCAAGGCCGTTTAGTTTTTCAGGGCGGTTCTATATAACAAAAAGACTGATTTTTCGCCATATTTTGGAGTCTCCGATAGCCATGATGTAGTAACAATTTTACTTCAATTTCACTGTAGAACTGATCTATCTCTGCGTCTGTGCTAGAGATCGTAGTCGCATAGACTTGAATGACTTTTATTTGTACCTTTTGTTAAGTACAAATATAGCATATATAACTCAGGGAGAAAGGGCTTTAACGCTTAATAAACGGTCGAGGAGTTCGATGGCGCAAGTGGTTAGCGCGTTCGGCTGCAATCGTTGAAGTTAAGCAACTTTGGCAGTGGTCGGTCATTGGATGGGTGACCAAAATTCTTCTATCTCGAGTTCCTCCGTGCTTTAGAAGGCACATTAAGCCGTTGGTCCCGGCTGCATCTGCAGTCGTTAGCACCCGCCAATACGCACTGGGCCCGCGTGGTGGGTCATGGCCAAATCTTCCTATTCCATCCATAGGGAAGGCCTGTGTCCCAGCAGTGGGAACGTTAATAGGCTGATGATGATGAAACGGTCTGAGAAGTTCATATTAAAAAAGAGTCCTACCCCACCATGGGAGGTACTATTTCCTTTGTAGAATAGGAGGTACTAATCCCTGTGTTTCACTGAGGCCGATAATATTCCACTTGATTTTGCCCAGTACACTTTCCCTAAGATCGTGAAGTCTGTCGTTTCCCAATAAACGCCTAACATTATGCGTAGCCAGATGTATCGTTGTTTTGTGGCAGCCAGATTTCTTCCAGGGAATCTTAGCACCCTCTGTTCTGCCAGTTCTCTGACCGCTTCCATAGTCAGGCCTAGTAAGACCGGTGCGGACTGAGGGCCAATTTTCTTTGAAGTTTTTCACGAAGGTTAATCGGCCGTAAAACGCCACGCTAGCCAGTGGGGATTGGCGAAACCACTCTATTTTAGGAGATTTAGGCCCGTATACAGAATGACAACTAAGTGTTGATCTTTACTTGAGTACAGTAAGAAAGGGATATCGCTATGTGCTATATACACAGTCAGGTCATAAGTATTGCCACACAGTAAAAACTTTTCTTTTTGAATGCTAGCCACAAAAAAGTTTATTGAATTCGAATGTCGAATTGTTCATGAAAATAAAAATGTATACTTTTTAGAATTTTACTCATTTTTAAATATGGAGTGGTGGACGCTTAAAGAAGACCGTGTTGCAGTTATTTGCGTTGCATCGTTGCGGTTACGCGCCAATTAAAATTTTTGATATACTGAAAATTTTGAATATAAGCAAAAGATTCGTTTATCGTCAATCCATTAAACGATACAATGAAGACTAGTGTAGATGACAGGTCAAGAAGTGGTCACCGAGGGCGTGCTCGGAGATGTGGCGCACGCAGGTGCGTCGGCCCCGAGACCGCCCCCATATGGGCGTAAGAGGGTACCGGGGGGTTTTAGTGGAGTAGGATCAGTGTGGCCTTCCGCACTGGTCCTGCTTGAGTAGGGTAGGCACTGTTTCCCGTGCCAGCGAGTCCCACACACGCCGTGCGCCTAGTCAGCGTCACGGTATGGTGCGTAACTGCATTTCCCCTCGTCACAAAAAAAAAAGACATGGCGCGCTTTGTTGAAGCGGTACGCGGGAAAAAAATATCGGGAAATTCTTTTTTCGGATGAAATAATTTTTACCGTAGAAGAGAGCTACATACAACAAACAAAATGATAAGGTGTACCCACACAGTAGTGAAGAAGCGAGCAACCGTATTCCGCGTGTTCAACGAGTTCATTTTCCATCTGTTGTAGTCTATGTTTAAAATAAATTATTATTGTCTATATGTCGAGGGCCGCTCGTTCTCTTCCCCGGTATTCACCATGGCTGAAAGCTGTTAACATGTGAGTGTGCAATAAAAATATTAACAACGCCCCAATAATCTTTCATTCAAGAAGCTACATAACGAACCCAAAAGATGGTGTCAGAAGTGCAGAAAATTTTCAAATAAAATAGGCGTGAAAAAGTCCCAAGTAAGTCGAATCTCTATCAAAGTCACGGCGGACAAAGCGTTCATTGTCTCCTTGAAACCGCTAAGCGTACAAAATGGCGAAAACGCAGCCGAGATATGGGAAAAATTGGAAACTTCGTTTTGAAATATTTAAGGATGCTAATGAAATTGTAAAATTTCCCGAATCAAAACAGGTAGCAATATTTCTTAATGCCATAGGAGACGACGGAATCGAAATTTTCAACAGTTTTAATCTTGACAGAACGCAAACCAAATTAGAAGACGTGTTGAAAAAATTTGACGAAAAATTCAGTCCTCACACTAATATTACTGTGGAAAGATATAATTTTTTTACTAGAATGCAAAAACCTGACTAATCCCTGGATGAATATTTAACAATTATTAAT